ATAGTCGAGCAATCGTATGATCTAACGTCGAGAAATGGCGGTTCATGAAATGTCCCCAGGCTGAGGAGAACTCTTAAAGACAAAGGGTATGGGTCGAAATATCTGCTTTAAGCCATCAAAGGTCACGACGTTGAAAAGTCTACGAGGCCAGATTTAAATCAAATCCCGCCAAATCAGGAGGAGATAAACTATAGTGAATGTCCGGATTCAAATTTAAAAATTAGATAACTGACGAGGATAATTCCTAAGATTCGGTCATTTAAATATGGAAATACAACTGTCAAATCCTGAAAATTAAGGATAAGGGAATTATCCTCAGAAAATTAGAGATAAGGATCTCATATTTGAGGAAGGCCTATAAAAAGAGCCTGAATTCTTCATTTAGTTTTTTACGTACTATTTTACTACTCCAAGCGATTATAATTCTGAAAATATTAGTGTATCCACAAATAGACGTAGACAAAGTTTTTCTGCCGAACTACTATAAATTTATGTGTTCTTTATTTTTCTATAATTATTCTTGATTAATTTATAAGACTGGATACGTGAGTATTCCTAGAGAAGTAACATTCTGAGTTGACTAATTTTTACTGTCAATATATATTAATGAAGCAAAAAAAAAAAAAACAAACAAAACAAATCAGAGACTATAAATAGTGTCATAAAAACTAGGTGAGGTAAATGAATAATTAGAATATCTTGTACCAAGTATACTAGAGAAAAGCTACAGATCAATCTTCATTAAATTATGAGGATGTTAGAAAAGCTGCAGTTGGAAGACCGAGTTCGAGAGCTTTTAAGCTTTCATAATTGAGGATGTTAGGGAAGTTATTTCTCAAACTATTAGTGAATCTGTCTGCTACATTTTTAGAATTAGAAATTCAGTAGCTTACAACTGTTTGACTAATTTTATTATCTTGTTCATTTCACTGATTTAAATTTTTAATTTTAGATTTTTACAGTTAAAATTTTTTAGAAAATGTCACATCTAACTTTTTTTATTATAATAAAAAATTTTAAAAAAATATCACATATCAACTTAAATTAAAAACTTAAATTCACGAAATAAATAAGGCCTACGTATATGCAATCTCAGATTTTTTTAAAGTTGATTTCTTGTTTATAATTGCTGATATTACAATAGAAAAAAAAAAAAAGATAGTACAGAAAACTGAACACCGACTAAAAGCAACTTGATAAGTACAGACAACTTGATTGGGTCCTAGCCAGCCCCACTAATAATTAAGAAGACTAACCTAAATTGTCAGAGAATTAGTTTTAAGGTTTTTTTTGTAAATCTTTTTATTGGTACGGTTTATTTTAAACGGTTGAATTTAGTTAAAATAACGTCAAATTAAATAAGTATACAGAATAAGATGACGTTTGATTTATATATTGAGAATTATAATTTAAAATTATTCTCATTTTACGTGTATTTTTTATGAGAAAAAATATTATAAAAAATTATAAATCATGATTTAAAATCATGAACGAATATAAAAAATAAACGTCCTTTAAATAATTTTTAATACAATTTTAACAATTAAAAGTATGATATTATTGATAATTTATTTTTTCTCTTCTCGTTTAAAAAACTCCCTAATGAAAACATGTGGAGTAGACATGTGGAGTAGGTGGTTCATTTAATTATTCTTTTATTTTGTTTTGAAGATATTGTTGTATTCTTACCTTCCACCTGATGGAGATAAAGACTTTTTTAATTAAGCATGTGATATTGATCTCAAAAGAACAAAAAAATAATAATTGAGCATGTGATTCTTCTTTTTTTTTTTCTTTTTTTCTTTTTTTAGCAATCTCTGCGGTAAAAAAATGTTTTTTTTTTTTTTTTTTTCTTGTTTAAGTAAAGCTGCCAAATAATGGAAGCAGGAAGCTTATGGCCACAATTGGCCTTCATAAAGCCAATGAGCAAACAACTGGTACTGGCACCGTATTAACAGAAGAGGTGCTCCAATTCTCAAGGACCCGAATTTAGATAATGATGGGGTTGAGTTCCTGGTTGAAGGCCTTGGTGCCATTTTTGGCAATGGTAGTGGTGGAGATTCTTTCAGTTGGGTTGACCACACTCAGCAAAGCAGCCATGTCCAAAGGAATGAGTCCATATGTCTTTGTTGTCTACTCCAATGCACTTGCCACTCCCATTTTCCTTCCTTTTCTCATTTTCCAAAGGTCTTCCACTCTTTCTTGATTTGATTATCAAACAAACAAATCCCATGTTTTTTGTTTATTTGTCTGCTAATTATGAACTTTCTTCCTATAATTTTCAGGACAAAGAGACCACCACTCAGTTTCTCTCTCCTTTGTAAATTCTTCCTCCTCAGTTCTGTTGGGTATGTAAATTCAGTGGGATTGCTTCTTCTTACTCTTCTTTTTTTGTTTTGTTTTGTTTTTTTTTTTTTTTTGCTATTAATATTTTTGGGCAAAATTAATTTGTTTGCTGGATGGGCTTCTTTTTTTTAAAAAATTTTATTTTATATGCTGGTGTAGGATAGCTATGATGCAGAATTGCGTAATTGTTGGTGTAAACTACAGTTCTCCAACGCTTGCATCTGCTATGTGCAGCTTGGTTCCGGCCATCGCATTCGTTCTTGCTGTTTTCATCAGGTTATAATGTCCTATCTTCTTCCTCAAAATGTTTGGATCTAGAGATGTCAATTGGGCTAGACTGTCTACCCGGCCCAATCCGCTACAGTGGTCAATTCGGTACGGCCCGGCCCTAACCGGGCCGGTCCGGCACGCCAGAAGGGCCTGGGTTGGGCTTCATGTTTGAGGCCCTCGGCCCAGGCACGGCCAAGGCCCAAGCACGACCCAGGCCCGCCAAGGCCCAAGCACCCGAAGGGCCAGGCACGGCCCACGAAGGCCCAGGCCCGCGACATGAAATTTTAATGAGGTTTGAGGCATTTTATGGCCAACTAGCCGACCTATGTCATCCGGTTGACTAGTCATTTTTGTTTAATTATTCATATTATTTTAATAAAATCACATTTTTTGGGGCATATTATATATTATTTTTTTTTGTCATCAAATTTGAAATTATAAAAAAAAATCTTAAAAAAAATTATTAATCATAAGTGAAACTCAAGTGCATTAAGAAAATTAGGTTAAAATTGAGTTTAGACATAACAGAATCTTCTGGAAACATGGTTTTGTAATGTACTTATCATAGAATACTGCACTCTTTTTTCCTTCACTAAGGTTTTATCCTGATCTCTCCACGGGTTTTACTTGGCAAGGTTTTTAACGAGGCAGTCATTTATGTGTATTTATTCGAATTATCTCAATTCAATAAAATCACATCTTTTCGGGACATATGATATATTTTTTTAATTAAATATTGAAAAAAAAAATTAAAAGGACCAGGGCCGGCCCGTGAAGGGCCAGGGCCCAAGCCTGGCCCTAGCCCTTATGGACTAGGGCCGAGGGCCAGTGTTGGGCCTGAGGGTTTCTCCTCAGGCCCGGCCCTGGCACGGCCCAGGCCCGCCACGGGCCTGGGGTTAGAAGGGTCGTGCCGGCCCGGCATGGCCCTTTTGACATCTCTATTTGGATCTACATTTGTCAAAATGTTTGGAAAAATCTATACTTTACAATTTAACCCATATTTTTTTAATTAGTTTAGTTCAGTTCAACTCAATTTGAACAGTAAGCGCAGTTTAAATTCATGTTTGGTAAGCATGCGGTCCCAATTATATTCTTTTTTTGAACTCAGTTCAATTGTCCAACTTAGTTTAAAGCCCCCTCTAAATTCAACTGTTCAAACCATTTTTGAACAGTAAAAAGGTGTACACTTTGTTTATTTTTCGCGCCTACTAAACACAAATTCGAATTTTATTCTTTAAAATTTTAACTGCACATCCAAACGCCTATTCAAACTACAATTTAAGCCAAACAAATTGAATTTTTCCGTTCAAATAAAAATGTTCAAATCAACAAAATTCAAATCAGTGAAATAAACGGGGATTTAGATAATGGGTACTTTTCCAACTAGTGACTAGGTAGTGTCTTCCGTTGTATTTGAACGAGTAGAAATATAATTTTAGGAATTTACACGATTTTCTGTCTTGATTGGTGTAGAATGGAAAAGTTAGACCTGAGAAGCTCAAAAGGCCAGATCAAAATCGTTGGCACAATATTGTCAATCTCAGGAGCATTGACAGTCACCATTTACAACGGCCCTGCAATTGTCGTCCCTCAATCTCAATCCACTCATAATACTATTTCGGCACCAAAACTATCTTCCTCCATGAATCCGACGGCGGCTAGTAATTGGATCATCGGAGGCCTTCTCCTTGCAACTGCTTATTTATGCCTTGCGATATGGAACATTGCTCAGGTAAATTCCAAATTCATTCTTAGAAAAGGGGGGCAAAAAAGTGTTAGTTTCACTATGAAGTTTAAGCACGAAACTAACTCTATTTTCGATATATTTGAAGGCGGTGGTACTTAAAGGATTCCCATCACAGAAGACCATACTCTTCTTCTATTACTTCTTTGGGACCCTTCAATGTGCAATTGTTGGTTTTGCTCTTGAAAGAGATCCAAGTGCATGGATAATCACACCCGATATTGAGCTCATCTCCGTCATCTATTCAGTAAGCATTACTAATAATTGAATAAGAAAAATCAAAGGAAGAATAGAAGAGCAATGAAACGTGGTTTGTTAAGATGCCTACAACCACCGTGGGACTAAGAAAAGGGAGAATGTTCACTAGTAATAGAAGTTGGAAAAACATTTTGCTAAATTGCTTTTCAGCTATAAGAATGCTTACGACATGCGAAAACTACTTTGGCAGGCTGTTTTTGGAAATGCAGTAACTTATTCTTTGCTAACATGGTGCATGCATAAAAAAGGGCCCGTCTTTGTGGTCATGTTTAAGCCCTTGGAGATCGCCATTGCCGCCTTCATGAGCACCATCTTTCTAGGCGACACGCTTTACACTGGAAGGTAAATCTTTCTTTAGAATGTGTTTTCATATCTTCTACTTGTGACACAATGGCAAAACTAAATCAACTGCTTGTGAAGTGTTCGAGTAAAAGGAGCGATCAAATTCATGAACTTACAAGCGTATTCCCCTTTTCACTGCTTCTTGGCAGTGTTATCGGAGCATGTCTGATCGTCGTAGGTTTCTATGGGGTAATATGGGCACAATCGGAAGACGGAAAGGTTGAAAACCATGGAGTTGTTGATGAGTCACGGTCGCCATTGCCGTCACCCCGGACCCCTCTTTTGGAAAGCCAGAGCCACGTTTGAACCAACGTATTTGACTTCTCTGTTCCAAATCAGCTGAAGAATAATATGGAGAGCCCTTCTTAGCCATTTGCACCAAAATCTAGATATTATATATGATCCGAGATTTTCTTTTCGATTCTATCCTTAAGTTGATAAAACAAAGAACATAATTGGTAGAAGTTCGTAGAGCCATCCCGGCTACAACCAATGAATAGAAACTACACAGTATGAGGGCTGTAAAGTAAAGATCATTTTTTTCAATACTGGTACTACTAAACTACTCAAGATATTTAGGACAAGTTAGATATACCATGTTGTATTATATCATATTGTATCGTATAGTATTGTATTATATTATATGGTATAATTTTTAATATGCACTTAGGAATTAAGGTTGCTGCATTTTGGGAACCGAAATGAACTGTTGTTACTAAAATAAATCATATTGTACAATAGTAGTTTTTAAAGGTGGAGAGTTCTCCAATCATATAAGTTCATCATAAAAAGCCAAATGGTCCTCTGGCAAACCTTAATACTTGAAACAAAGACAATAAGCTAGACATATTTGAATAAAATGCCTTATTCTTTCCAATTAAAATTATCAGTCTTATAGAGCCTGTACAGTTATTAATGCATCCGAATGCCCTGATCGGAGATTTAGTACCACATTTCTTGTCCGAACCAAATTAAAATCAAGGGCTTTAGCTTCAGCCTCCCGAGAAAAAAGGCGCCATCTAAGTTTTTTTGGCCAACGCTGTCATCGCAAAATCAGTAAAATCTCTTGTAACAACTCACATTCTTATAACTTATTTTGTAGTAGGAATAGCATGACTCACATTGCATTTGGAATAATTTCAATCAAGTGGGATCCATTTAGCTGGTCGAGCTTCGGTGTGGCACCATTCCGTTAAGAAGATTAGGTAATAATAGATTAAAGGATTAAAAAAAGTTGTTTTAAAAGGAAATATTTGAGGAGAAAAATGTGTTCCTGAGCTAATCATAGAAAAAAAAAAAAAAAAACAAATGCATAAAAATAACTATTGATATAAGAGAAATTACACAACAAATAATTAAGTAGGAACACATTTGAAAAAAATAAAAAATAAAAAATATTATATAAAAATACATATGAAAGAAATTATTTTCATAAGAGTAAAATTATAAAAGAAATATTTTTTTTAATAAAACATATCATAAAAAATAGACTATAAAGAAACGTTGATAAAATAATTTTAAAAAAAGAGAACATTTAAAATATAAAAAAGAAAATCAAAAGGCAGAAAAAGCAAAAAGAAAGGGGAAAAAAGGGTTAAAAAGGAAGGGAAAAAATAGGAAAAAATGGGAAAAAAAGAGGGGAAAAAACAAGAAGAAGATGTTATGTGGCAGTCCAATGAAAAATGAATAGCAATGAATTGTCTCTTCCATATATGTTTAGATTTAGATTAGATTATATTAAATTAGATTTTTACATAAGTGGTATGATTAAACCATAAGTGGTATGATTAGATTTTGGTGATTCGGAAAAATTTTCTACGTCCACAAAAGAGAGAAAAATAATCACTAACAATTTTATAATTACACACTCAATAATTTTCTCAATCTCTTTCTACCCAAAACCTCTTACACCTTTTGCCTATCTCTCTTCTCAAACTTCTCTCTTTCTCTCAAATGGAGGCACTTGCTCTTTCTCAACTTTTTCTCTCCACACAAACTCATACACAAAGCACTTATTTATAGATAACTCATAACACTTGCCCAAAAACATAAAATAGTATAGTTACCCAAAAAACACAAAAATAGTTACTTTCTTAAAACCAATTTAAAGCAATTACCTAACAATCTTCACATTGACTCAAATTCTCTCAACTCACTCATTTGGGTATCGAATCTCGGCACTCATCATTGCACCCCTCACGGATGACGACGATGCTACTTCAATAAGAATAAACATGTGTCAAGTTTAAACTCTCATCAAACTTGACACGACGAACTAACTTCTTCTTATTCAAAGTATCTTCACTGTTATAAGTCTTTGCCATCTTAACTTTATTACCTTCAACTGTCATCAGCATCTTGTTGCACTCTTTTACTTCTACAACTTCTTTTGCAACAAAAGAAGATTCTTCTTGACATGGTTTCACATTCATAGCTCCACCTACAACTGTAGTCTCAATCAGCTTATACAAGTTTTTAACTTTTTCACCATTCATGTCTACTAAATCACATCTCTTGACTTGCATAAAACCATCATTCGCATAGTACTCACAACTCAAAGTGTCTAAAGCCCCCAAAGAAATCAAACTTCTCATTAGTTGAGGAACATGTCTAACATTTGTTAATGTCCTCACAACTCCATCAAACATCTTCACCTTCACAATACCTATTCCAATAACTTTAGCACTAAAATTATTAGCCATCAACAAAGTACCAGCATCATAGGCCTTATAGGAATCAAACCACTCTTTATGTGCATACATATGAAATGAGCATCCAGAGTCCAAAATCTAAGAGTCGGAAATATTTTCATTAGCAATAACAGAATAAACATTGTCTTCACTCTCATACTTGTTGCCAACAACATTTGCATAATTTGAAGTGTCTTGGGATTCTTGCTTTCTTTTTTTCTTCAAGATGCTTCATCAATTCTGCACATTTTCTCTTAATATGTCCCTTCTTATGACAATAGTAGCACTCAATATCCTTCATTGGTCAGGATTGAGAACAGTCATCTCTTTTATCATAATATCCCACTCGTGACTTGCTCCTACCCCTAGTTGAATTTGATTTCGCCGCTAAAACTTGTTCAGTATGAGACGTATTACTAGATTTTTTTTTATATTTACAGGTTCTAACAGAGTAGTCGACACCTCATCCACAGTTAATGTAGTCTTTCCAACTAAAAATGTAGTCACCAAAGTTTCATACGATTTGAGTAAGGAGGCCAACAAAATTACAGCTTTATTTTCCTCATTAATTTTGACCTCTACACTTAATAATTGAGTTATGCACTTATTAAAATTATTTATATGGTCTCTAATATCCTCATCTATCTTCAACTCATACAATTGCTTTTTCAAATATAGTCTATTTATTAAGGATTTCGACATATAATTTTTCTAATTTTTTTCATAACTCAGAAGGAAATGTTTTATTCATAATACTATATTTCAATTCATGAGTCAATCTTAAACGAATTGTGTTTACCGCTCTCGCTTCTAATTCTTTCCAATCTTCATCTTTCATATTTTCTGGCTTCTTTCTTTACAGTGCTTTCAATAATCCTTACTGAATTAGAACATTTTTCACCGTACTCTACTGTATGCTGAAATTACTCTTCCCGTCAAAACGCTCAAACTGCTCAAACTAGGCATCATCTTGATTTTTTTTTTTTCAGATATTCACCACAGCTCTAATACTACAGTTGGGAAAAAACACACCATTATACTCACGCAGCGAAAAAATAAACTGAAACTGAAATAACTATTAAAAGTAGAGAAGGTAGAGATTTTGGTGGTTAAGAAAAATTTTCTACGTCCACAAAAAAAAAAAATTAATCACTAACAATTTTATTATTACACACTCAACAATTTTTTCAATTTCTTTCTACCCAAAATCCCTTACACTTTTTTTCTATCTTTCTTCTCAAACTTCTCTCTTTCTCTCAAATGGAGGCACTTGCTCTTTCTCTCAAATGGAGGCACTTATTCTTTCCTCTTTCTACCCAAAATCCCTTACACTTTTTTTCTATCTTTCTTCTCAAACTTCTCTCTTTCTTTCAAATGGAGGCACTTGCTCTTTCTCTCAAATGGAGGCACTTGCTCTTTCTCTCAAATGGAGGCACTTATTCTTTCTCCACTTTTTCTCTGCACACAAACCTTTATATAAATCACTTATTTATAGACTCTATATAACCTTTGTTCAAAAATAAAAAATAATAATTTACCCAAAAAACATAAAAATAGTTACTTTTACAAAATTAATTTGAGGCAATTACCTAACAACTCTTCAACATCTCCTCCAATGCTGTAGGACTTGATGGGGGTGACTCCATGGTTGAATGTTTTGGTGCCATTTTTGGCCATGGTTATGGTGGAGACTCTTTTACCAGGCTTGACCACACTCACCAAAGCAGCCGTGTCCAAAGGATTGAATCCATTTCTATTTGTCGTCTATTCCGATGCACTTGCCACTCTCATTTTCCATCGTTTTCTCATTTTCCAAACGTCTTTCTTGAGTTGATCACCAAATAAATAAATATATATTTTTTAAGAGTTTCTCTTATACGGAAAAAAATAAATTATTAATAATTTTCTATTCAGCTGTCATATTATTATCAAAAATTATTTTTGATATGATATTTATTAAATCTAATAGTCAAAAAGACCCTACTAAAAAACTCTTAGAATTTTCCTAAACTTTCTTCTTAATTAACAGGGAAAAGAGACCACCACCCGGTTTCTCTCTCCTTTGTAAATTCTTCCTCCTCAGTCTTGCTTCGTATGTCCTTCAAAGTGGGATTGCTTCGCACCTTCATCTTATTCTTTTTATCATTATTATTATTATTATTTTGGCAAAATAAATATTTTAGCTTGATGGGATTTTTTTTTTTCTTTTTTCCCCACTTGGTGTGGGATAACTGTGACGCAGAACTGTTTATTTATTACAGTTCTCCAACACTTGCATCTGCTCTGAGCAACCTGACTCCAGTCATCACTTTCGTGCTTGCTGTTTTTTCAGGTTAGAGAGAGAGAGAGAGAGAGAGAGAGAGAGAGGAAAGTCTGGGGAAAGTCTTAGATCCAATTATTAAGCTCTTTTTTTTTATTGGCTGCACCTCCAATTATTGAAGTGTTGACGCAGAACTGTTTATTTATTACAGTTCTCCAACACTTGCATCTGCTATGAGCAACCTGACTCCAGAGAGAGAGTCTGGGGAAAGTCTTAGATCCAATTATTAAGCTCTTTTTTTTTATTGGCTGCACCTCCAATTATTGAAGTGTTAGAATGGAAGATGGCTCTATATGTTTTTGATAATATGCTTTTTTTTTTTAATATTATAATTAATTATGATTATGTTTCATTTTGTTAAATTGTATTAATTAAAAATTTATTTCACGTGACATATGATTATATTTTGAGATTATATATATAGTTGAATGATATATTATCACTTTTATTATTGATAATGACTAAAATTATATTTTTCAGGGAATATATCATGGGAGATGTCAAAAATGATCATATTTGAACTTGTAATAATTTATTATTACATGAAAATATCAAATATTATTTTTTTTACAATTGAAATATAATTTTTAAATTTTATCCTTCAAATTAAAAGTTTTTTTCAATAATTAAATTATTTTTTTACTATTTTAATTAATTAAAATATTAAATGATTTAGGATTATTAATTAAGGGTATTTTTGTCAAAATACAGTTTATTTCCATTTCATGCCGTTGTCAACCAAACAACATAATTTTCATTCAGATATTGATTTCATAACTCCAATCAAACTAAAGAATCAGTTTATGATTCCAACACATTTCAATTCTATTCCATTACCATTCCGCCGCGGCAACTAAACACACCCTAAGTATTAGAATAGAAGATGGCTCTATATGTCCATTCAAAAACAAAAAAAACAAAAAACAAAAAAGATATGGATCACAGGACAAGTTTCTACAACCATTGAAATGCTTAGGAAGACATCACATTTTCTGATTCATGTGCCCATTCTTGACCATATGTTGCCACTAATAATACCAAAAGAAAATAGCTAAATAAAAAACTGGGATTTCAATACATATGGTTGGAAAAATCCAAACTTTAGAATTTAGGCTCGTTTGGAATGAGAAGAAAATACTTTAACAGAATCAATTATTTTAGTTTAAGTATATAAAACAAATGGACCTTTAGTTTTGTCCTTTCTATAATTAGGGAAAAAAAAACTCTAGAACCTTGAACAATGACATTTACTTATCCAATACATATTTGTTTGATCGTATTAAAATACTGTATTGTATTATGACAATACAGCACACCTTATATAATACAATACAAGTTACTAAAAAGGACATTAAGTGTAAGTGGAGTATTACATTACAGTTAAATGAGTAAGATTATAATTTTAAGAATTTGACAAGATTGTCTTTCTTGATTGTTGTAGAATGGAAAAGTTAGACCTGAGAAACTCAAAGGGTCAGATCAAAATCAGTGGCACTATAGTGTCAATCTCAGGAGCATTGATAGTCACCATTTACAAAGGCCCTGCAATTGTTGTCCCTCAATCTCAATCTACTCCAAACACTTCTTTATCACCAAAACTATCTTCCCTCATGAATTTGACAGCGGCTAGTAATTGGATCATAGGAGGCCTTTTCCTTGCATGTGCTAATTTAAGCCTTGCAATATGGAACACTGCTCACGTATGATCTGAAATTCCATCTTAAAAACGAGGAAAGAAAAACTAGTTTTTCATGTTTTCTTCATTTTCATTATAAAATTTGAGCATGGCACTGATTTTTTTATGTTCACTACATTTCAATGCAGCGGTGCTTAAGGGATGCCCATCACAAAGGACCGTACTATTCTTCTTTTACTTCGTTGGGACCCTTCAATGTGCAATTCTTACTTCTGTAGAAAGAGATCCAAGTGCATGGATACTCACACCTGATATTGAGCTCATTTCTGTCCACTATGCAGTAAGTACAACAGAAGTTGGAAAAACATGATTTGGCTAAATTGGTTTTCAGTTATGAGAATGCTTTATGTTATGATCTGCAAAACTACTTTCACGGGCTGTTATTGGAAGTGTGATGGCATATTCTATAGTTACATGGTGCATAGACAAGAAAGGACCCGTCTTCGCCGTCATGTTTAAGCCCGTGGGGATTGCTAGTGCTGCATTTCATGAGCATCATCTTTCTAGGCAACACACTTTATATAGGAAGGTAAAAAAAAAAAAAAATCTTATTTTAGAATGTGTTTTTATACTTTCTACTTGTGAAACAATGACAAAACTAAAGAAAATGCTTGCGTAGTGCTTGAGCAAAGTGACTTGTAATAATCATAAAATTTACTAGCATTTTTCCATCGTTTCCTGGCAGTGTTATCGGAGCATTCGTGATCGTGATAGGCTTTTATGGAGTGGTATAGGCGCAATCGGAAGAGGGAAAGGTTGAGAACAATGGAGTTGTCGATGAGTTGCAGTCATCCTCGCCATCTCTGTAGACCTCTCTTCTGGAAAGCAGGCCCGTTCATTTCACCGATTCGAGTTTAGAATTCAAGTTTTGTTACAGTAAAAAACTCTTAGAAACAGTCACGTCTAACTTTTTTACTACAGTAAAAAACTCACATAAAATCACATATAAACTCGAACTAAAAACTCGAATCAACGAACTAAACAGGCCAAAAATTGACTTCCATATTCTTATTCAGCTGAAGAATGATGTGTTTAATACCTTAATGAAATCTAGAGAGCCCTTCTTAGCTATTATACTAAAATCTAGATTCGGTATGCGATCCAACATTTTCTTTTCAAAGAAACATGGCTTCTAGATGTCAGTAAAGTCGTCCCGACTGCAACCAATGAATAGAAGACATTGTTTTAAGGCTACAAATGAAAATATCATTTTTTACATACGATTCAAATGTGAAATAATTTCCTTTGGATTTGCTATATATGTTTCTGGATAAAGCGTAATGCATGAAAGATGTGATGACGCATCTAAAGGCAAAAATTGTCTGGATATAGAATTTCTTCAATAAAATTTCCATTCACTGCGGCCAAAATTATCAATGTGCTATAAATCTCTACGGAACTCATCATGGAAGTACCAAAATTTGAGGACCACCTCCCAATTTTACTATTCTCCATATTTCCACCACTTTAAAGGACCGTAAAAATATCAAAATCTAAGAAGGTACCTAGGCCTACCTGCTTTGGACAATCACCAATTTCCCGCAGAGCACCTATTGGTATGCCGAGTACATATTGATATATTCCACTCCAAAAGCTTACAACACGCCAAAAGGAAAATGATCGGTGGCATGGAGGACTGGGTTTCATGTCTTTAAGTCATCAGACGTGGCTGATGGTATGCAATGTGTCGCCAGAATATCTAGAGTAGCAGCTTTTGCCGTCTTTGTTCGGAGGACCACAATCTGCACGGGGATTATTAGTGAATATAATGGCGGGGAAAATTTTGCACCAAACAAGTAAACAAGCACACAAATTATGAAGGGGATGGGTGGAAAACCTGTTGGTATTCCAAATCAAATCTCAAAAACTCATCTTTGCAGCTTTCTACCATGCTGGCCAAGTTCTTAAGATTCTTCACAGGCTTACCATTGAAAGCCAGAACCTATAACATGCATAAGAATTAGAAGGCATTTGAAACCTCACTTTTTGAAGCAACTGAGCAATAGCAAATAGTATTCATCAATCTCAATCTAACCTGGGTGTTAACAATCTCTTCATACCCAATGTTGATATTAGCCACAAGAACCTACAACAGATTTTCCAAGACATGTCAAGAACCAAAAAAACAAAAAAAAAGGTAGTAATAATAATAAAAAAGGAGCAGCAGCAGCCATCGGCAGAAGAACTGTTCAATTCTACCACATTGCAAGCAACGGACGAGAAGAGAGAGGAAAACCTGAGAAACTACAACAAGCTGCTCATCTGGTGACTGTGGAAGATGATGCAACAGTTTGTCCAATAGCTTCACTGGAGCTTCGTATTCGTAATCCTTTCCATACTGTAAGCACATGTAGGAAGTTAGAATGTGACCTCATGCCCAATGCTCAGAAGTAAAATTACTCCTAGCATTTATACTGACGCCTCTGAGAGCAATTAAAGTTAAACCAGTTACAATGCATGGGACACTGAATGACGAGAATACTTCTACCATGACGGATACTAATACCCCAATATTTGCAACGGCAGAAAGGATAGTGGAATTAGAGCTGTAAATGGTTCTGAAAAAATGGTATAGACGTTGATCCTTGAATAATGAAAACACATTTAAATTATAAAGGTTTTAAATTTAATGTACTTAGGCATAAAGAGAAGTGAAACTGGGCAAGAAAAATAAATCAAATCAAATAGAATATTGATGCTGTAGTACTGACCATCCACTGGATTATTTTCCATCATCAAGCAATAGAAAGCAGATCAAATAAACAAAACTAGTTGTCCGTACAGTAAACAGTGAATTACAAACCTCTGATCGGAAATAGGGAACAGAAACTGCTGTAAAAACGAATCCAGCAATGATATAATATGATGGGGGTCTGCCCCTGTTGTGTGCAGGTATTAGCCTTTTGTGCGTCCCAAGTTTGATATTAAAATTGAGAATCTCAGAATTGCGCAAGACCCTGACTGCAGCACTATCTCCAGTATATTTTTGGGAGATGAGGTAACTAAAACCTATGCGTTCTCCATGTCGGAAAGGTACTGGAAAATAAACAAGAAAGAGACTTTAAGTAACACAGAGCAAGAAGCAGACCGATAATAGAACAAAAGACGCCCAAAAGAGTTGCGGAGCCCAGAAAACATAGGGAAAAAAAATCTTTAAGTAAATTTAAGGGGAAAAAAAAAAGGAAGCCAAAGTAAACATGACATATTGCAAAAGTTGCTTTGACTCTCGCTTTTTCTATTGGAAGCATCATATTTCCCACAATCAAAATGACTCAGAAATTTCACGTGTTATCTGTTAGTTACAATAACTAAAAAGAACAAAACAAAAAAAACATAACAGGAAACAATTACTGTGCTTTTATGCATGAACAACAAACAGAAACAGATATTCATCAAATGGAGATATACCTGTTCCATCATTAGCAATATCAACACCATCAAAGCTGAGAATTATATCAGATGGCTTCAAAACTTGTGATTCTGGAGCTGTGGGATCAACTCTTCTAATGCGAACACCCTTTTGTTCAGGTTTCATACCCATAGACTTGCGCAAATCAGGATTTTCCATTTTCTGCCACTCAATCCCAAGAATCGGAAATCCTGAACAAAAGACATAAAACAAGTTAAGAAAGAAAAAGAACAAATAAGAAAAAGAAAAACCATGTCTGCTATGGTTGGATAATGTCTCGTACAGTATACATTATACAAGTCTATAACTACATAATGTAGCAATGTACTATACTGGCCATAACTTTCCAAATTCCAATAACAACTAACAACATCTAAAAGTCACCTGTATATGCGCCGTTCTTTTCATAGTCTTGAATGAAGTGCATGATAACTGGTGTTGGTATGACATAACCAATATTCTCCACATCTTCATGTTTAAGGGACTGAAATGCAATACCCACACAGTTACCCTTATCGTTAAAAGCAGGTCCACCCGAATTCCCTGAATTTATAGCAGCATCTATCTGCAGAAACAACCATGAAAGAAGAATTATGACAAATTTGAATGGTGGCATAGACCCAACAAAAGGAAGAGTGCCAGATCATTATCTCACAACCTGCAAACCCAGAAGTTCAGTTGACCCATAAACATATGACAGGATCTCTATTCGTGATACGACACCACTCGTCACAGAAATGGTGTCACCTCCAATTGGGTAACCTACAACAGTCACGGCATCTTGAAGTGCAGGCAAGTCCCCAAATTCCACAGGGGATACGCCTTGCCAAAACTCATCATCATCAACTGTAAGCATCGCTGCATCACATAAACAAAGAATTCAACACAACTATCCCCTCATAGAAACGAACGCAACTTCAGGCAATTCCAATAGTCACACTAACACTTACTTCACATTATAGTCCCTCATATGAAAGTCAAAAGTAAATGCCATAACTAAATACTAACATTTACTTCATTACAGCCCCTAATAGGAAAGAATGCATGTTCATGTCAGTATCAGCACCAACATTTACTAGTAAGTGTTTGGTATGAGAATTTGTGTCATGGTTTAAATCATGGTTCGTGACTCACTACAGTGTTTTCTCAAAAAAAAAAAACACAAATAAATCAAGAATGGTTCTAAATCCATGAACTAAACGTCTATTAAATTATTACTAAATAATCTTTGCCCCTTTTACTTTTTTCGGAAACTTAACGAGTCAAAGGCTACGGTCCTCCGCCTATATTGTAACGTGTAATGTGAAAGGTGTAACATGGCATTTATTCAGTATAATAATAATATATTTTTGGAAAAGTGTGAAACAGGAAATTTATTTATCCCAAACTAGTATTACTCCTTGTCGAAATCATGGTTACATAGAATAAATATCATGTTATATACTCACTTCTTGTAGTGGATCCCTGGACAGAAGACAAACCCATAATGTTTTACTTTATTATCTAAGGAATGAGAATAAACTCCAAGATTCTGTCAAGCGTGTATTCTTATCATTCTCAATCCACAAACAATGCACAAATGAAATGGGAAACCCCCAAAAACTTTCTGCCAAACAATCACTTTCACATTCCACAATTAGAAGGTGAGAAAAAACCCACCTTTAAGCAAGCAACAATCTCAAACACCAAACACAGAAGAGAGAGAGAGAGAGAGAGAGAGGCTTTTCAATACCGATATCACACTCGGTTCCAATGGCGAGCACGGTGGCCAAGTACTTGGTGTCGGAGCCTCTCTTCTTGAGCTTGACCTGCGTGTAATGCTCCACAGAGTGCGCGTTCGTCAGCACTCTCCTCCCACCAATCACGAACCCGCTGCTACTCGAACTGTACTGCCTCTTCCTCTGCCATGGCAAAGAGAAATTCGGCTCCGTGTGGACGCAGAACACCTTCACCACGGCGTCCATGGCGGGAACCACCCTCGCCGCGAGGCCGGGCTCGGAGGCGGTGGAGACGGCGATTTCCATGGCCGGCGCCGTGAAGTCGCCGTTCTCGAGCGGCCTAGGGATTCGTCTGTTGTCGGGCTTGTCGGAGGTTTTAGGGAGCTTCTTTGGGCGGCCGCGGCGGCGGAACTGGGGACTGGGGTCAACGATTTCGACGTTGCTGACGGAGAATACGTCTTCGATGTCGAACGTCGCCGTCGCCGTGGTGGCGGCGGCGGCGGCGGCTGTGTTGGAGGTGGTGGGTGGTGGGAAATCTAGGTTTTCGAGGGTTGGGGTTTTGGGTTTACGGCCACGTTTTCTCTTCGTCTCTCCCATTTTTGGGGGGAGATTTTAGGATCTCTCAATCTTCTTCTTCTGAAAAGTAATATGGAAGGAAATGGTCTCCCTCCCTCCCTCTCTTTCTGCAAAGAGGGAAATATCGAAGGAAAATGCGGGAAGAAGAAGATGGAACGGAAAAAGACACCGCTTTTTTTTTTTTTTTAAGGGTTTTTGCATATCGTCCTTTAAATTTTTAATTTTGACAAACTTATAAAATTATTATTTTACTACATTTATTTAAATTTTTTATTAAATTTAAGAGATTTAAAGTTAAAAAGTTAAAAAGTTAAAAAATTTGTGTTACATTTAAATTAAAATGTTAAAATTTTTTATTGAACATATTTTTTCTACACTAATTTAATGCAATCATCATCACAAAATGGAGCATATTGTAATAATATTTCAAATTTAAGAGGTAAATTGTTAAAATTAAAAATTCAAGAGATGAGTTGCTAAAACAATATAAGTTCAGAGACAAATGTGTAAAAAACATTTTTTATAGTTAATCTCACCGATACACATAAACTTTGAGGTTATTTCCAATTCCCCTTCTAACTTCAAAAACCTCCACTTTTTTGTTTTTAAATTAATCTCATTTAACCCATTTTATTAAATTTTTTGTTAAAATCAAACAAAAAAAAAAGATTAAGGTCCAGTTCATTTCACCGATTTCAATTTAGAATTTAAGTTTTATTATAGTAAAAAGCTCTCAGAAACAGTTACGTCTAACTTTTTTACTACAATAAAAAACTCTCACATAAGATCACATCTAAACTCGAATCAGCGAACTAAACTGGCCATAAGTATGTTTTTTTTCATTTATTTTATATAAGAATTCTAAAGGTTTGTTTGGTACAGTATTTTTCCTTCTACAAAGAATTTGAATAAAAAAATTCCTATTAATAGTCTTTTCACAAAGAATTTAAATCAAAACATTCAAACCCAAATTATAATTTAAATACACTTCCAACAGGCCCTAAAAAAAACAACACATGATCGCATTATCTCTTTTTTTACACTACAATTTGAAGATTTAAGACGTCAAATAGACGACGGTTTACTAGAAAACCATCGTCTAATGTAACTATCGTCTAATGTAAAAAAAAAAAAAAAATGCGCTACTGAGTTTTTATTTTTTGCAGAAAAATTTTAAAAGGATTTAACGACGTTTATTAGCTTAACCATCATTAAATCATGCCTAATGGGTTAATATTTTACACGTGAAATTTTACATTTAAAACGCTCTTAGTATGGATTTCTATGTTTTTTTTTTTTTTTTTTCCTGTTTTACGTCTACGAAAGAGACTTCCCATTGAAGATGTTGAGATGATGTTGGAGTTTATGATAGCTGGGCCGGCACTGCCTTGGATGAAGTGGTGGTCCAGGACCAGCTGAGCAAGTGGGATGATTCCCAGGCCCAAGAAGAGCCATTTCAGATGGCTGAAACGACAGAGGAGGGATGTCGTTTGGCTACTAAAATTAATAAAGGTGAACAATCGAAGGAGATGAATCCAGATGGGGAGGTACAGAACACGCGCGAGGGCAGAGCACGCAAAATGCCAGGCAGATTCAAGGATTTCGTTATGGCGTGAGCCTTGAGTGTTTTGCGGAGGCCGTAACCGTTTTTCGTTATTCCTTATTTCCATAGTATTTCTTATTTCAGCAAATAATTTGTTACGTGGATTGGGAGAGGTATAAATGGGGAAGAGATTTGTAATGTGGGGATTATCGATTATCATCAAGAGGAATCTTCCTTGTAAGGAGTTGGGCACTGACTTGAAGAGTGCGATTTTACCGTTTTTCTTATCACTGGTGCTTTCATTGAAAGACGCCATGAGAAACGAAGAACTTGCAAAGATCATGAGGGCTATGAGGCAAGTTTCAAGGAGCATACTGAAGGACAGTTGCAGAAATTCACTTCAGTCTTAGAACAACACATGGTGAGCACAGAGCTGCGTCTTGCTCAGGTCACTCAGACGGCAAAGGATTCTGGGATTTGTTCGGCAGTTTTTGCTGGCCAAACAGGCGAAATGGCAGAGACCAACCAAACGATCGGAGGGCGTGGAGTTTCTGAGGGACGGACTCCTGATCTAAATGCGATCTTGAGAACCTTGCGGGTGGATGTGCCCCAATTCGATGGGAAGGAGGTGGAGAATTGGATTTACAAAATTGACAAATTTTTCACCATGCATCAGATCGATCCAGTGACCCGTCTCGAGGTGGTAGCTTTCCATCTTGATGGGGAACCAGCAACTTGGTATCAATGGATGGAAAGAGGTGGAGCTCTCACTGGGTAGGATGTTTTCCTCTGTGAGCTGCGAAAACGATTTGGAGCGTCAATTTATGACGATCCTTTGGGAAGAATTGCGAAGCTAGTTCATACGGGAACAATATCTCAGTACCGCGCCGAGTTTGAGAATCTGATGACCCGCATCAATGGGGTATCCGACGCACTGTTTCTTAACTTCTTTATTTGGGGGTTGAAGTTGGAAATTAGGAGGGAACTGTTGATAACTCACCCAGGGAGTTTAGCTGAGGCTATGGCCAAAGCCCAGCTGTTCGAAGATCAGAATGAGGACTTGATAGGCAGGACAAGGCGCGAGGGATACCATGTGGTGGACGGTAACAGCCGCGGAATGTCTGGGGGAATGGTGACTGGGGTCAAAACTGGCGTAACAGGGCATACTTTCCAAACAGGCCGACGAGCTTCCTTCAACCAAAAAGAGGTGATACTTTCCAAACAGGGAATACCAAGCTGCCCATTAAGCGCCTCACGCCCACTGAGATTCACGAGAAGCGAGCGAAGGGACTCTGTTTTAGTTGCGAGGAGAAATACCACCTTAACCATCGGTGTAAGAACAGGGTATTACTCATGTGCGGAGAGGAAGGAGATGGAAATTCTGATGAATACCCCGGCACAGGATCAGAAGAGTCCGAGCGTGAAGAAGAAATTGAAGTAAGCCTAAACACTTTTTCAAATTCTGTGAATCCCCATATTTTTTGAATTTCTGCGAAATTAGAGACAGAAACATTGGAAGTGTTGATTGATATGGGTAGTAACAACAATTTCATTCAAGAAGCATTGGTGGATAAATTGGGGCTTACTTGGGAATTAGCTAAACGTTTCAAGGTTTACATGGGGAATGGGCAATCTCTGGTTGTGACCGGAAATGCGTGGGCGTGGAATTGGAATTACAGGGAAATAGATTCACGGTGGATCTATATATCCTTCCAATTTGGGGGCTGGATATAGTGTTGGGTATGCAATGGTTAAGGACTCTAGGGCACTGCATTCATGATCATAATGCATTAACCATGGAATTTCAATGGAATGGGAAGAGCGTGAAGTTGTCTGGAAGTACTGAGGTAACAACAAGGCAGGTAACTTTTTCACAGCTGAATTTTTTTATCAGCGGGGGAGCTGTGAGCAGTTTCTACCGAGTGTTGGCAGTGCCACAAGGAAAACAGCCAGTAGAGGGGGCAAGTGTGGCGGAAATTGCCTAGATGGAAGCCTCATTACCATCCATAGGAAAAGGCATTATCAGAAGGTTTCAGGAGGTTTTCAAAGAACCTTCACAGTTACCCCCTACCAGGACTGTTGACCACCGAATTTTCCTGCAGCCCAGAACTGCCCCAGTGAACGTTAGGCCCTATAGATATCCTTATTTCCAAAAGGACATCATGGAAAAATTGGTTAAAGAAATGTTAGATTGTGGTTTCATTCGACATAGCAGCAGTCCATACTCCTCGCTGGTGTTATTAGTCAAGAAGGATGGGTCATGGAGGTTTTGTGTCGATTACAGAGCTTTCAACGCGATCACTGTCAAGGATCGTTTTCCCATTCCCATAATAGATGAATTACTTGATGAGCTAGGCGGCGCCGTTGTGTTTTCCAAGTTAGTTCTACGGGCTGGGTATCACCAAATTCGGATGGATAGGAGGGATGTACATAAAACAGCATTCCGAACTTCGAGGGACATTATGAGTTTGTTGTAATGCCATTTGTGTTGTCAAACGCCCCATCGACGTTTCAAGCCGCCATGAATCAGATTTTTAAGCCATTCCTTCGAAAGTTTGTCATCGTCTTCTTCAATGATATATTGGTTTATAGTAGGAGTTTGGCTGAGCATGTGACACATCTCCATGAAGTGCTGCAGTGTCTACTGCATAATAATCTTTTCGCTAAAGGGAGCAAATGCCAGTTCTTCCAAAGAACCATTGAATACTTGGGGTACTTGGTCTCACCGGAAGGAGTTTGCGTCGATCCATCAAAGGTGGAGGCCATGGTTAGCTGGCCACGACCAAGGAATTTGAAGCAATTAGGTAGAGGCTGTTGCAAAGTGACGGCAGTATCTTCTCGAGCGGTATTTCCTCATCAGAACAGATCACAAGAGCCTAAAAGAGCTCTTGACCCAGGTGATTCAAACACCAGAGCAGCAATACTACTTGCGGAAATTGATGGGCTACCAATTTTCAATTAAGTACAAGGCAGGTTCGGAGAATTCAGCGGCAGACGCCTTGTCTCGGCGGCATGAGACCCACAATACCCAGTTTTGGGCTGCTTTTTCATCTGTCAGGTATGATTTCTTGCAAGCCTTGCAACTTGAAAATTTAGAATGTGAGGATTTGAAGGGTTTGCACCAACAATTGGAGAACAAAGACCCCACAGCCACAGAATATACTAGGAGGGATGGTATTATTTTTCATAAAAATAGGTTCTACCTTAGCAAAGACTCCAAACTGAAGGGACTTATGCTTAAGGAATTTCACGAGACCCCTACAGGAATACATGCTGGGAATGAGAGGACTTATCAACGCCTATGTGCAAATTTTTATTGGCAGGGAATGCGGAAGGATGTCAAAGATTTTGTTGCTCAGTGTATGACTTGCCAGACTATCAAGTACTCTACTACATCACCTCAAGGACTACTTCAGCCACTGGAAATTCCTGAAAGAGTATGGGAGGATCTAGCTCTAGATTTCATTGTCGGGTTGCCAAACTCAAGAGGCAATACAACTATTTTGGTGGTTATTGATAGTTTAACTAAGTATGCTCATTTCGGGGCACTACCTACATCGTATTCAGCCACTAAGGTAGCGGAACTTTTTTGTCACATGGTAATCAAGCTGCATGGGTTGCCTCGGACTATAGTCTCGGATCGGGAC